TCTCATGCGCCGGCTAGCGCGGGGACCGCGCCGCCGCCTGTTGGAGCCGCGTCTCGGGGGGGGGGGGGGGTGCCGACCGTGAGAGATGCCACCTAGCTCTCGGCAGCCGGCGCTCGCTGCTCGTTTGCCACAGTGCGGGCTCACCGATTTGCACGCCGTCCCGCCCGCTCCGCCGCGCGAGCAGCGAGATGCTGGTTCAGTGGTCGACGCACAACAGCAGCCGGGCGATTGTGAAGTGGGGCGAGAGGGCCGGCAAGCTCACGGAGGCGGCTGAGGCGGAGAGCCACACCTACACGTGAGGCGGCCCCTGGGAGGGGGAGTTACCAGGGGAGAGGGGCAGAGAGGGCGAAAGGAAGGGAGGGAGGGAGCTGGGAGGGAGAGGGGACGGCTGCCGCCGCTGCTGCGACGCCCTGAGGGAGGGCGCCGCCGCCGCCTGCGGTGGCCGCCGCGACGCCGGCCGCGGGGCCGGCCCGCCGCCCCGCGCTGCGCTGCGGCGCGCCGTGCTGCCGCGGCTGTGGTGCAGGGCTGCTGGTGCTGATCTGCTCAACTCCCTGGCGTACATCGACCTGCGGCCCTTACTCACCACCCACCCCAGGAAGGACGAGATGTGCGGGGCGCCTGCCAACACCATCGGTTGGAACGACCCCGGTGCGTCGCCGGCCGCCGGCGTGTCGGGGCATATGCCCGCCAAGCGGGCGGCCCCGGAATCCGCCGTGCGCGAGGACCGCTCCAAAGCGTGGCCGGCGCTTGAGACTTGGCTGTCAGGTCGATGTCACCCCTCGTGGCACGCCCTCTTGTGCTCCTGCAGTGTTTCATCAGCCCCATCCTGTATTCGCGGCTGCGCAGGCCTCATCCATGTGGCCAAGCTGGTGGGCCTGACGCCGGGGCGCCGCTACCACTACAGATTCGGCGACGAGGTGCGACATCAGGGACTCTGCTCCTGCCCCCCCTGGGCCCCAAACCCCCGTGGCCCCCCGCCTTCTCGCCCCGCTCCGCCCCCAAACAACCCCCCGCTCGCCCCGTGCCGAGCGGCTCGGATATCCCCCTTGACACCCCTCTGTGCATCGCGCCCGTCCTCCACTCCTGCGCCGCCGCCGCCCGGCCGCGCCTTGCAGGACTGGGGCTTCTCGAAAGAATTCTCGTTCCGCGCGGCGCCCCCCGAGGGCCCCGGCTCGACGGTCAAGTTCCTGGCCGTGGCTGACCTGGGGCAGGCGGAGGAGGACGGGTCGCTGGAGTCGTTTTACTATGCACCCTCCCTCAACACCACCAGGTGCGGACGCGTGTGTCCCGTGTGTGTTTCGTGTGTTGGTGAGTGCGCGCGCGCGGGCTGTGTGTATGTGTGTGTGTTCCGTGTGTGTTTTGTGTGTGCGTGTGTGTGTGTGTGTGGGAGGGGGGTCAGTGCTTGCGTGTGTGGTGCGTGCACGCTTCACTTTCTGACGGGCGGCTTGGACGTGAGGGGCCGGGTGCAACAGAGCAAGAGCCTTGTTGCAGGTGTGCATTTCGAGGGGCCCCGGATGCCTCTACCCGCCCCGCAACCCGCACCGCGGCGTCGGGTCTGCGACCGGCGCACCGGCGCTGCTGATGTGTCGACAGTGGCAGCGGCGCGCCGGCCCTTCTCCGGGCGAGCTGTGTATCGAGGGAAACCATTCTCTGGGCCGGCACCGCAAGAGGGCCGCACAAGGGCCCAAACCCAGGCTCCAATTCTCTGCCGCCCACCCGATTCATGCCGCGCGCCTCACGCCCGCAGGCTCATGCAAAAGGAGGGCGACTCGTATCAGCTGATGCTCCACAACGGGGGTGCGCCCGCCTGCGGGGGACGCTTTGCTCCTGGCACACGCACAAGGGGGCGGACGCCCTGCTCTCGTGAAACTCGCACTCTCACCCGGCTTGACCTCTCCGAGCCCCTGCGCCGCCGTCGCCCCTGCGCCGCCGTCGCCCCTGCGCCGCCGTCGCCCCTGCGCCGCCGTCGCCCCTGCGCCGCCGTCGCCCCTGCGCCGCGCCGAACGGCCTAACCCCAAGCGCGTGCCGCGCCGCGTGCCGTCTCGCAACCCCCGGCCAACCCCCCCAAAGACATATCGTATGCGCGCGGCTACGTGAGTCAGTGGGACAACTTCCACCACCAGATGGAGCCGCTGGTCACGCGCATGCCATACATGGTCGCGCCAGGGTGCGTGGGTGACAACAAAATCAGCAGACAAGAGGCTGCCGCCCGTACTCTCAATGCAAGCAAGCGCCTGCTTGGTTCGGCGGGTGTTTCGGTGGGGTTGGCAGGATCCGTTGCGGCGGCGACGCGCGTTTCGACGCGCGTCGCGGCAAAAGGGCCGCGCGACGGCGTGGCTCGTGCGCCCTGGCGGGCCGAGGCGCAGTGGGGCAGGCCATCGACGCCTGGATGTGCTGGGCGTCACCCGCTGCTCGCGCCCCGCCCTTTTTTGCCCCGCAGCAACCACGAGCGCAACTGGCCGGGCACCCGCGACCGCTTCGACGGCCGCGGGGCGGTCTACGACTCTGGCGGGGAGTGCGGGGTGGCCTACGAGCGGCGCATGACCATGCCCATACCCGGCCCCGACAAGCCCTGGTGCGCTGCCCCCCAC